TTCACGAAAGTTAGTTAGTTAACTGGTCAGGATTTCTTCACGAAAGTTAGTTAGTTAACTGGTCAGGACTTCTTCACGAAAGTTAGTTAGTTAACTGGTCAGGATTTCTTCACGAAAGTTAGTTAGTTAACTGATCAGTCAGGATTATTGATATCCACTCATGTTCCGATCCACTCAATCAATGCGTACTGGTTATTTTATTTTGTTTGCGTCAAGTTTTTTACAATGTTCAACTTAAGAATAATGGAAAGAAATTGCACAATAATGTATTGTCCTTTTTTCAAACGAGAAAATTTGGATCGTAGTTAGGAAATGGTCAGAAAAAAGGAGAATATGGGATATTACTCAATTAGCTTAATTTAATTAATTCAAGAAATTTCATCAATCCAGATTTTCTCCAAATGAAAATTATTCCTATTTCTTCAATAAAATTCCAATAGCAGTTCTGAATTTCATTTCTCGTTTTCTTTTGTATTACCTTTGAATGGTACTAATAAATGTATTTTTCACAGAAATTTTTAATTCACTGATAATATCAATCAGGTAGATTTTAATTTTATCTGGGGACTGATATTCATTATGCAAATGATAGTAATATTGAATGAGGAAATTAGAAAAAAATTGCATCACTTCTAGACGATTTGATATCGATTCCTTACCGTAATCACTCACTTCCATCTTTTATGATAAACGTAAGGAATTAAAAATACCAGTTGAATGTAGTGGTCAGTAATGAGGAGCAAGGCAATAATTAGATGGCAACAAGACGAAGTTGCACAGCGGAAAAGTGACGTGTCTTAGAAAGATATCATAATACAGATGATAAGTTATAGGAGGGAATTTTTTATTTACATAGATTTCTCAGTTTTTACACACAGACAAGAATAAAACATTTCAGGTAAACATGGAAAGCATTGTTTGAATTTATCTTTTGTTGCAGTAATTAGCTAATTAGTGATGAGGAGAATAAGAAAGATTATTTCATAGAGCTTTTGTAGCTTTTGAATTTCAATGAAGTTATGGGAAATACCGGGAGAAAGTTTTAGGAATTTCTGATAGCATTTGGTAAAGAATAAGTTTTCAAAAATTATTGTCACTTCAGCGAACATAATATCGAAGTTATGCATTATTGCCAGTTGCAATTAGCGGTAAAATCATCATAGGTTTCGGTAATTTATCCTGAAATACAGCTCGTGGATTTTGATCTTCTTTCTTCGCCTGAAATACATATAAACAAATTATTGAAATTACTGCAATACTGAAATAAATAAGACAGCAAATAATTTGGAAAAAAAACTCTAAATAAGACAAAAGTTTTTAAATTTTTGATAAGTTGAAAAAGATTTTTTTTTTTGCCACTCGTCCAAATAATATAATTGTTTAAATCATTTAAATAAGATACCATAGCAGCAACGAAAACCATTTTATCCACCTTAGCACCACCATTTTGGCGCAAAATGTCAATAGCCAATACTTGCCCTGGTTCAATAAAAGAATAGACTGGATTTACGCGATATAAATTGTTATCGGAACATTTCACCTGAAATCGATTACAAAAAATTAAACTATTGCTTTCTGACAGCTTAACTTGTCATTAATAATTTAAAAATAAATTAATAATGTAACAAATGTGAAAGTAAAATGTTCTGAAAGTTTTCGAAATAACAAAAATTTGAAAGATTTGTCCGTTAAAAATGAGTAAATATGAAATTGCTCAACTTCGGAAAAATTTAAAAAATGACTTAAAATGTGAAAAACAAAGATGACATTATGGGAAAGTAACCTTAACTGCTCGGCGTGTATCAGTCGGATTTGAGATAAAAACTTTCTGAACACCGCCAGATGTATTCCAACGTAGCTCCATGGGTTCCATTTTCAGATCACGATGTTCTTCTAAATTCTTCCTTAGTTCATTTCTTATAACAAATTCCAACAAATACTTTCATTTTATTTTAAATTTAAAAAATTGCAGCAAATTTTGTTAATACTACTTTCTTGCTAACCTGCACCGATGAATTTCCCGAGATTAATTTAGCGTTAATTTAATCATCTTTAAATTATTTAAAACTGATTTCATCTAAAGCCATTTTTAATCAGTTTAGTGATTCAATAATGCTAAAAAATGTCGCTTTGTTTATTCTTCGAAATTGATCAAATAATTTACTTTTTAACTCCGTGCTTTTCTTCGATGATTTCTGAAATGGTAATTTATTCAGTAAAAGTTTTTTTTTAAATTTGTTTTAATTATTTTTTTAAAAGTTATTCTACAACGATTTCAGCTTCGAAATTTAAGTCCATTATTTAATTTTTATATTAACAATTGCATTGAAATGATCAATGTCTTTGGCTAGAAATATTCATAAAATTATTCATGAAATTCTATAAAATAAATAAATATTCATAAAATTAAATTATCTATAAAACTATTAATTTTGTGGATATTTTACAGAAGAATTTCATATTGTAATAATAGAAATGATGAAACTGAAGAATTATTTCACCTCAGTACTGATTCCACTTGATGCCAATGGCTCGGTATGTTGACTTCGCTGAAAAAAATTACTTCATTTGAATTTTCAGCAAAATTCAAATTAGTATCTTTCGACAAAAGGGGAAGTTCATTCACCTTTATGGAAGAGCTTCTCCTTTTGCGTGATTTCGAGATCGATTCATATGATCGCGATCCTGTGCTACGTGTTTTTTGCGTTTCTGATAATTTTTTAGATTCCCTTTTGCTTCCCGACTTATCCTTTCCATACTGTTCCATTTTCACTAAGTTCTTTTTAGTCTTTTCAGGTCCTTTCTGATAATTATTTGCCACTTTTAGCTAAAATTTTAAGATTTTAAAATTTTAAATTTAAGAAATCGGTACAATCTTCCAACTTAAGTTGATGATGTCATCTGAGAATGGAAATACTAATCATCAGTTGTGTTGAATCATATTTTCTTATGCTACTGAAAAGTACAATAATTTCCGCAATCATTACTTGATGATTCGGTCGTGAATTTCCACAAGTAACTAAGGTTGCTAAGGTGACAACCAGCGGTAGAATCACAAAACTCAACAGCATTTCCATGATAATAAGCATTCCCATTATTTAATTGTGCCCAAATTTTCGAAACAATCCAAGTTGGTCAACCTCACGTCAACAGAAGTAACACTACGAGTAATTTAAAGTTTTATATTTAATTTTATATACATTACTAATTTGCATGTGTCAACGTTGTCAAAGTAATTGTAAACATCCATAAAGTTTGCATAATTTTAAGAATGATCACAAATTGAAATTATCTGTACTATTTCAAATATTAATTTTCAAAGTTAATCTTTTTGGCGATTCGATTATTGCAATTATTCCCTTTTGATATTCCATTTCTGATTCTGTTTTCATTGCATTTGGAACATCAGTTAAATTATAGATGATTACAGGATGTTTACAGGTAGTTAGAGGTGACTAAGGTAGTTGCATATAGTTGCCGTAGTTATAGGTAGCTGCTTTATACAGCTATGGCAGCTTATCACAACTTATCACAGTTATGATCAGTAAGGTGATAATTCATTCAATTACAAAACATTTGCAATAGAATCTCAACAACTCGATACTCATTCATCTTCTTAATTATCAAATTTGATTTCCTAATTTTGATATTAGAAAATGATCTGTTAAAATATAAAAAGTCTAGTATTCGAAGGTTTCATAATGAATTAAAATGTGAAGCCTGTAGTATGATACTTGGCACTTTTATCATTTTCATTCCATTTGTTAATTTAAAATAAACAAATGATTTATTGTAATGTCTTCTAAAATGTTGAAATTATTATATTTGATTTAATTTACCAAAGGATTGCCATCATAATTCATAAAATATATACATAATAAGATAATTTTATTGCATTTATTCTGTAAGATTGTTGACTGTAAGAGGTAGGACAACCATCGGATAAGATGAAATTTTGTTGAATAACATTGAAGCCTTGTTGTCATTCTTCTCAGCCTAAAAGAAATAAAAAAAAAAAACCAAAGAGTAGAAGGTGGAGGAAAAAAAAGAGAGAGTGGAATTATAAGTTTAATATCATAAAGGTTCTCTAAATGAATTTAGAAATATATTGATAATACTGTAGCATGAAATGCTAAAATTTCCAAATAGCAGAAAAAAAAGTGTTTAATTTAAAATTTAAAAATAAAAAATCTTACTTTTGTCCAAAGGAAGATCATTTTATCAGGCTTTGCACTACCATTTTGACGAACAATATCAATACCGAGTACTTCACCTGGCTCAACAAAGGAGAAAACATGACTGACCCGATACAGATGATTGTCGGAGCATTTAACCTTCAAAAATTTTCACTTTATTGGATCAAAAATTTTCGGAAATTAATTTTGAATATGTAAGAAATTGGTAATATACTTTTTGAGAATTTTAGATATTAGGTTCTCTGATATGGGAAACTATCGGTGATATATTAAAATCGAAGTCGAATTATAGCAAACAAGATACAGATAATGATAATAAAAATGATAGAAACATGAATAATATCAGTTGTAATAGTAATAAGCTTAAAAAGAAAATCTTTCATTGTCCCCAAAATCAACGCACCTTGATGGCTCTTCGTTCATCGCTAAGATTTGTCAAATATACTCTTTGCATACCACCCGAAATATTCCAATTTAATAATTTTGGCTCCATTTTTAGTCCTTCTTTTAATTTCTCTATAATTGTATTTTCCAAGTGAAAAGAAAATTGATTGAAGCATTTGAAATGAAAGGATTTAGTCAAATAAAAATTATTGACAAAGTTGAAAAAGTTACCGTCTATATTGCATGCAATTGAATCATTTTTGTAATCAGTTAAAGGCTGAAAAGAAAATATTTTATGCTTTGTAAGTTTAAACAATTTAAAGATAAATCAATTGATTGATTATGAAATTGAAAGGAAGACATAAATATATTTCATTATTGCAGTCTAATTTCAATTTAATTTTTAACAAACTATTTCAAATAATATTTTGCGTTGAAATCTTCGAAATTTGAAATTTGTGTTTTGCATTGAAGCCTATTATCACTTCTTTATTTAGTATTGACTAATTAAAATGATTTCTGTTCTTTTGTCTAACTGAACTGATAACATAAATTTCGAATTTGAATATGAATTTTCATCATGATTTTTAAAATATAAAATCAATTGCAATCGAAAAAAATTTAAAAGAAAAGCATCGTTTTAAAATTTGAAATTTCAAAAATTACTGCAAATAAAAAGGATGGGAAATTTTCTTGGTCTGGTTATAATTATTTTGAATTTACAAAAATGTGTCAAGTATATTGATAAGTTTGGAACTGCAGAAAATTCTTGTTCTGCTAAAGTTTCATTCAAGCTGTAAAACAATGCTTTGAGCTGTAATATCCATAAAATCCAAAATTTTGGGATTTGATTCCATATCAGATAAAGTAATGAAGCAATTATAACCTTACGGAACCTCTCAAATCTGCTGCTTCGTTTCTGTCCGGTTAAAACTTTTTCCACAGATTTGGTTGATACTGTTGAATCATTCTGTTTTGATGGCTTTCTTGATTTTTTCACTTTTGGTATCTTTCGTGCTTTTGATATTTTAGCACTCTGAAGCGCAAAATTTCTTGTTTGAAGTTTTTTTTTTTAGGTTTCGAATAAGAATTTCCAGCGATTATCAAGGGGAATAAACAGTGATATATCATTTCCCTTAAACTACTAATTTCGCTCACCTGTGTGTAATCACTGATTACCACCAGTTATAAGAATATTATTATTAATTATAGAAATTACTAATTACAAAAGCAATCACTAATTATAGTAATGATTACCTGTGAGGTTTCCGTAGACTTTGACTTTGTTTTAGTTCGTGATTTCTTTGGTCTGAATTTTTCGCTTTGACTGAGAGTATCAGTTGTCGAACTTTTTTTGCCACTTTTTACTTTTCCTATAGGCTAAAATTTCTTTTGTGAATTAAAACAGGTATAGATTTCACGAAGAATGAGAAGGTAA